AGAAAGAAAGAAAATAAATTTGCAATACAATGGAAAACATCACAAAATTGTTCGAATAATTGTTCTATTATACGCGAGAATGCTCTTAGAAATAAGCAACAAACAAAGAAACAGATTAATTGTGCGATACTTACTAACTGCGTGTTGTGGAATGATGTTAGATATGATGTCAGTAGTTCTTCTCACAATTTAATAATGAACTCCTAGAAAACAAAAACATAAAATTAAATCAATGAGATGTTTCACAATAGTTTTATAACCACTGTTTATATCTTATAAGTTTTTAACTAAGTACGGCCTCCGTACAATAACGTGGCAACCGCACGGAGACCGTACGTTGTAAGCACGTTGTAAGCACGTGCAACGCGCTTACCACGTGCGCAACGTACAATGCACGCAACCGCTCATGGCCAGGTGTGGCATGCGGGCCACGTACTTACACTGTGCGTGTGACGTGCGTTGTCGGTACTCCCTCCCTGCCTTTCCCTACGTTTTCAGAAAAACGTGGCGGCCGTGGCCTCCCCAAAAACCGTACGAACTAAAAACACGCACGGTGGGTTGTGACCAACGCTTTAATTACAAAGTTGTTTTTTTCTTTTCATAGAGACGCAAAAACAAACAATATTTTCTAAATTTTAAGTATCGATACACATAAATAGGATATTTATTTGTTTTACCGTAATATGGAAGAAGATAAAAAAAAAAATATTTTGTTGAGAAGCAGAAGTATTGGGCGTCAACCAACTGTATTCTTGGCTAGATTCATGGTGGATTCATGTATTTCATGTGCTTTTGGCATTATTTTCATTTGCAAACAATGACAGTCAAGATCAAATGTCCACACCTTTTTACACGTTATTAAAGCTCTCACTCGGACACAAACTACATAATGAACAAAGATTTGCTCAATTTGAAAAGATATATACGGAAGCGTTAAAGTGCCATTCTACTTGACGACATGACGAGATATTTCATCTTGTCAAGTCGACTTAATATCCATATCATGTCGACATGTAAAGATATTTAACCTACCATGTCGACTTATCAACTTTTATTAGTCGACATGGCGAAATAAATTATCTTGCCAAGTCGACTTCACAAAAACTTCATGTCGTCATGGCGACATAAGGTATCTTACCAAGTCGACTTCTAAAAAAATACATGTCGTCATGGCGACATATATTATCTAACCAAGTCGACTACCCAAAAAGTAATGTCGACATGGCGAAATAAATTATCTTGCCAAGTCGACTTCACAAAGAGTTAATGTCGTCATGGCGACATGTATTATCTTGCCAAGTCGACTTCACAAAAAAGTTCATCTCGTAATAGCGACATAAATTATCTCACCAAGTCGACTTCCCAAAAAGTATATGTCGTCATGGCGAGATATGAAGTGTGACGACTATTTCATGCAGCGCGCGTATATGGCAGGCCCTTTGTGTAAAAACCAGATAAACTCTGTTTTTCTCAGATAAACTCAGTTTATCAGAAAAACTGTGTTTATCAATGATAAACTGATTTGATAAACTGAGTTTATCAACTGATAAACTGAGTTTCTCTGATAATAATAATAATATAGAGTATTTGTAATGCGCCAACTCCACATGAATAATGTGTTCGAGGCGCATGGAGAAGAAAAGATATACGTACACAAAAATACACACAAAAATGAACAACGACAATGTGAAAATAAAACTAAATCTACTGAAAAGCCGCTTTGAACAAATGAGTTTTAAGGGCATGTTTTAAGCAATCTACACTTGAAATATAACGAATATGTTGTGGCAATTGATTCCATATGTGAGGTCCAGCGTGTGCAAATGACCGATCCCCCATGATTTCTTAGTTTTCGGAACAACAAGCAATTGAGAATCGGAAGATCTTAAGCGTCTGGGAGGATTATAAGGCATTAACAAATTAATATTGTACTCTGGGGCAGATCCATGTATACAGTGAAAAACAAGCAATAATAATTTAAATACAATACGGGATTCAACAGGTAACCAATGTAGTGAAGACAAAACAGGAGTAATGTGAGAAGTACGTCTGGTAAGGGTAACAATACGGGCTGCTGCATTTTGTAATTTTTGTAACCGTGAGAGTTGAGATTGTGGCAGCTGAAACAAAAGTGCATTACCAAAGTCCAGTCGAGACGATATGAGGGCATGAACTATTTTTTCTGTGGCCGAGCGGGTTAAATACTTGCGAATAATGCCTAAATTACGTAGTTGATACCTGACAGATTTACAAACAGCCGGGATCTGAACTGACATGGACATTGTAGAATCAAATAAAACTCCAAGATTTCTACATGATATAGATGGAGTGATAACATCACCATCAACCTTAATAGAGGAAAGGCTGACCCTGTCTAATAGAGTTTTAGAACCGATAAACAACAGCTCTGATTTCTCTTGATTTAATTTCAAGGAATTAGAGCTCATCCATTTCTTGATATCATGAACACAAGCTTCAAGTTTTGTGATGGTATCAATGACATTGGTTTGGTTAGGTAGGAATGATGTATACAGTTGGATATCGTCTGCATAACAATGGTAATTAAAAGAGTGACATTGTAAAATCTGTTTTAGACCACTTAAGTAAATTGAGAAAAGTGTTGGGCCTCCAACAGATCCTTGCGGAACACCACTTACCAACGCAGCAGGATCAGACTTTGAATCATTAACACAAACAATTTGAGACCTTTCAAATAAGTATGACTTAAACCATTCAAGAGCTTTTCCATCTACACCAAGTGATTTCAAAGTATTTAACATAATTATATGATTGACAGTATCAAATGCGGAAGATAGATCAAGTAGTAACAGAACAGTTATTCTCCCATAAACTCTGTTTATCTGTTGATAAACTGTGTTTATCATTGATACACACAGTTTTTCTGATAAACTGAGTTTATCTGGTTTTTACACAAAGGGCTTGCCATATACGCGCGCTGCATGAAATAGTCGTCACACTACATATCTCGCCATGACGACATATACTTTTTGGGAAGTCGACTTGGTGAGATAATTTATGTCGCTATTACGAGATAAACTTTTTTGTGAAGTCGACTTGGCAAGATAATACATGTCGCCATGTCGACATTAACTTTTTGTGAAGTCGACTTGGCAAGATAATTTATTTCGCCATGTCGACATTACTTTTTGGGTAGTCGACTTGGTTAGATAATATATGTCGCTATGACGACATGTATTTTTTTAGAAGTCGACTTGGTAAGATAACTTATGTCGCCATGACGACATGAAGTTTTTGTGAAGTCGACTTGGCAAGATAATTTATTTCGCCATGTCGACTAATAAAAGTTGATAAGTCGACATGGTAGGTTAAATATCTTTACATGTCGACATGATATGGATATTAAGTCGACTTGACAAGATGAAATATCTCGTCATGTCGTCAAGTAGAATGGCACTTTAACGCTTCCGTAGATATACTTCTTTTACTGAATGCTATAAATGAATTCATATTAGAAATGTTTGGTAATAAATTTGAACCTAAAATGCACATTTGCAATTTCATATCTATATGCTTTGGACCTTTTTTTTTAGGGTGGGTGGGTGGGTGGCTGTGAGTAATTCTGTATGAGGGTGAGGTGTGCAGGTATGTGATCATGTTTCATACATCATCATGATATCCTGCAGACTTGATGGAGTGGACTTTGGACCTAACATTCAAGCGCACAGAGAATGTGAGATGTACACAATATGGGCTGTTCACACACAAAGCATAATCACACTTAAAAAGTAATTTGTGTATAAAATCAACTTAACAAAAACTTACCTGGCATTCTACGGGCTAACTCAGTATGAAAAACAAAGAATATCATATCAACACAGGAATAAGGCTGTGTTAGTGAAATGGAATGTGATAGTTCTCAGACTCAGAACACAACAGAATTATGAGTGAAATTAATCATAAAGGAAAACAGAAATCAAGCACAATTATAAATTACCTGACAAAAAGAGTATAAGCATAAATATTCACTGGTTCTACCGACCATAAAAGGCATTCATTTGCCCCTCTCTCTCTCTCTCTCTCTCTCTCATTTTTTAAAATTTTATATCTCTCTCTTTATCTCTTTTCTCTCTCTCTCTCTCTCTTTATATATATATATATATATATATATATATATATATATACAAATTTACTGTGAAAAGAAATGAGAGAATAATGGTTGCAGAGCCTTAATTAAGCTTCCTATTGCTGTCCTTTGATGTTAATTATCTAATCTTGATTCTATCATTTTGTATTTCCACAAGAGTGGTTGTAAAACATTACTTATTCCACATGTGTACAGGTAAATAATTAATAATAATAATAATTACAGTGCTTATATAGCGCCTAACACTTACTTTGTCAGAAGTCTCTAAGCGCTCTACAATAATGCAGCATAATTACCCTGGCTTTAGCAGTGCAGCTGTTACGCGCGCTGCGTTTCAAGGAATAAATTCCTACCAGGTACCAATTTACTTCACCTGGGTGGAGTGTGGCAAATCAGGAATCAAATACATTTCCAGTGCTTTATTCATTTCATTTCATTTTCTTTACTTGATTCCATATTCCTACAAAGTGTGAATTGACCTGATGTGTCATGTACCTCCCAGGGTACTGAATTTTGGAACCAGTCCAGCTTTCGTTGATTGGATGCTACTTATATTCTCCATTGTCAAGAGTAATGTTGACATATCCCTCCCAGGGTACTGAATTTTGGAACCAGTCCAGCTTCCGTTGATTGGATGCTACTTATATTCTCCATTGTCAAGAGTAATGTTGACATATCCCTCCCCTAGCTGGTACTGAACGTTTGAACCAGTCCAGCTTTCGTTGATTGGATGCTACTTATATTCTCCATTGTCAAGAGTAATGTTGACATATCCCTCCCCTAGCTGGTACTGAACGTTTGAACCAGTCCAGCTTTCGTTGATTGGATGCTACTTATATTCTCCATTGTCAAGAGTAATGTTGATATATCCCTCCCCTAGCTGGTACTGAACGTTTGAACCAGTCCAGCTTTCGTTGATTGGATGCTACTTATATTCTCCATTGTCAAGAGTAATGTTGACATATACCTCCTCGCGGGTACTGTTTATTCTTCATTGTCAAGAGGAAATTTGGATTGCGCAGTATCAGCTTTGTGGGTTGTTTTCATTGCAGCTGCACTTCCTTGTTTTACAGGCTGCGTTTTTTAAGCAATCTGCAAGCATAAGATTTAGGTAAGTGTATAATTTGTTTATAGATATTCTCTAGAAAGTAATGATGTACGTAATGTAATTTGATTGAAAGTGGCAATCGCAACATGAGTGATTGCTTTATTTAAGTATATTTTGAGCAATCTGAAAATCTGATATTATATAACTAATACTACCTACTCACACAGAAGTATGTATCAAACTAAAGTCAGAGTATATCTGCTCTGAACTTAAAGCATCTACATGTACCAGCTCCCGTACATCCATTTTTTCTCTGGGCTTTACTATTTTTGTTTAATCTCAAAAACATATATGGAGGTGTCATGGTATGTTGGTTAACTCCCTTGAATCTGAATCCAAGGGTTAATGGTTTGAATCCCAGTCTGGCACTATAACCCCATTTGGCAAGATATTTGACACTCTCCACCCAGTGACCCAGATGTAAATGGGTATCTGCATGGCTTAAAGGTAATTGCACAGCTCCAGGAAGAACAGCACTGATGCTAATGAGATTGGGTTTTGAACTTTTGATAGGGCTTTAGGTTTTATATCTTGGGTTGGTTAGGCTAATAGGTAAAGTGTTGGGTTCAAAGTGGAAGTTAGTATTAAAATTAGCAAGAGCTAGTGACCATCATGGAGCAGCTATCACCACAATTTATGTCGAAATGAAATGAGGGGCCCGTATTTGTAGTGGTGGTTATTTTACCTGACTGCTAAGAAAGCATACATGCTTGTTAGTAATTGCAACCAGACAGCTGACGGCTTTAGGTCCTCTCCGAGGGACCTGGTAATGAGGATTAATGCCTAACCAAAGGGCACTATAGGGCATCGACTTGGTTTCGAACCCGGGTCACCAGATTCAAGACCACTGCTCTACCGACTGAGCTATCGTACCTCCATATGTTGTATGTCATACAATCCACCTACTCTTTTTTTCTTCTAGCACCTCCAGGCAGTGGATTTGACATTTCGTGCATCTAAAACTACACCAATGGCCATTTCTACACCACATCTGACTCCTACATGGAGATATACAGTCTGCAGGATATTGCTGTTTGATCAAAGTGAAATGGAGCTCGGTAATTAAGAAGGGAATAAGTCAGTCCTGGTTGACGGATCAACTCTTGCTGTATGTCTAATCGTCCAATCTGATGATTTTTACACACTGACAATCTTCATTTGACGAATCCATCAGGAACAAAAGCTGGAACACAATACAGTAGATTACGGCTTCAAGCCTACAATGACTGCATGATTCATGCCTGTGTATATGTGACAGAACAAGCCGATGTATGTGTTAGCCGAAAATTAGATTGCACTTTTACACATTTTGAACAACTGGCTGGCTTTTAGCCAAGTCGTTTTCATCTGAAATTTTTTGAACGACTTGGATGTCAAAGGTGGAGCAGTATCATTTGTGAATGAGATAGAATACTAGCTGACGATCACTTTCTCCTAGTTACAGTTCAAAGTAACAATCTTTTACTCCACATTTTGGGAAGAATCTCTACGGCCGGTATTCTACCATAAATCACAATGGTTGAAGTTTTGTTTTATTCCTTGACTGGTGGATTTAAAATTCCAAAATGGTTTGTCTTTTTCATTCTCATGAATCTAGGTGGAAGTAAATCCACAACATTAAATAAAATACAAGGGCAAGAAGCTAACTTGATTTTCCCATACCCATGTGACAGTACAGAAGTCACTTTACGGCATTCCCTCAGCGCCCCATTTTATCGCTCGACAGACGGGTCAGCGCTGTCATTGCCTCGAGTTCAGGTCAATAGATTCCAAGTGCAGAATAGAAACAAAAATGGAAACTGCTCTCTGGATCTTACAATAACTAATCTAATGAGAAATGATGCAGGGAAATACATCTCATCGGTTTACAAGGATGGGCAGTCAATTATTGTTGATCACACAACAAGAGTCGAACTGCAAATAGACTATCCTCCTGGTAAGGCATCATGTGATGTGAGTGAAGGAAAGGGTGGAGACTGGGTTTTAATAGACTGTACAGCTAATGTTGGGAGTCTATCAGGAAAGATTGAATGCTATCAGGGTGGTGTATGGATGCCTTCCCTAACTGACCCCAGTGAATCTGTCACTTTATTAACACAGACCATTCTCATCAGAAAATCTCTGCCAGTATTTTGTTGTTCTTCTTTTTTGGATGAATACAAAGAAAGATGTGAATGTAAGGATACTGGTCTGTATATAGCTGATGATGATAGCAATGACCCTTGCCCTCCTTTAGAAATTACAACAATGCCTCCTCTTTCCACTCTCACAGAAAACAATCAAAGTGATTACTATTCCAATATGACGTCCTCCATTCCAATTAATATGGAAACATGCAACTTTGATAGCATTCAGTTTATAATTTCCGTTACTATTGAATCCATAGTGCTAGTCTTGATTTTTGTTATGGTGTATAAAATGATAAAAAGGGTGAGAAATGCTGAATGTAGACAATATATTCCTCTTACTTTGTGTTGTTGGCCCAAATCTTCCAATAATGGAAACGATTTGATTGAAATTAAACCAGTTTATTAGTTTACCACAGGTTTGATAATTTAGTTACTACAATTACTACCGAACTCATGCCTGTGTATGTCTTTGAATGTCAGAGAACCAGCCGATGTATGAATGCTAGCTTAATAATTGATTGCATTTACGCTTGCATTTTGAATAACTAGCTAGCTTTTAGCCACACCATTTCCATCTGGAATTTTTTTATTGAGTTGGATGTCAAAGGTGTAACATATTACTGTTTGTGAAATACAGTGTGAGTCAAAAAAAGTTTACACCTAGAAAATTGCTAATTATTTGTAAAATAATCTATTAACAGTACATTATTATACATCTTATGAAAGAGTGTTTTATCCCAAATCATCTTGTACCATTTTTGTGTGATATGTGTTAACGCTGGGATGATCAGGAGGCATTGTTTGCGAGAGTGCAAAAATCGACTTGCGCCAAGGTTGCTTATGTGATGTATGAATAAAACAATTGGGATTTGGGTATTAATTCGATCTTTGCAGATCTAAATAACATCCCTAACAAATTTAATAATGCCACACATATCAAATATCGAATATCAAATATCAACGAACTTTTGTGCGCGCGTGTGTGGGTGTGTGTGACTTTGCCCTTTGCAAAAGCATATGCAATGCATTTCATTTGATACATTCAATTCATTCTCTTACTCCGCTAATCCCAACATAATACATACTGTAGGCATCACTTTGGCGCAAGTCGATTCTTGCACTCTCGCAAACAATGCCTCCTGTTCTCCCAAGCGTGAACACATACCACACAAAAATGATACCAAATGATTTGAGATAAAATACTTTTTCATAAGATGTATAATAATTTACTTTTCATCGATGATTTTTAAAATAATTAGCAACTTTCTAGGTGTAAACTTTTTTTTGACTCACACGGATATATAGATATGACGATCACTTTATCCTCTTTGCAGTTACTGAAAAACCTCTGTATTTAGGCAAAAATCTGAATCTAACCGTAATTCAAAATGTAACAAGTTTCATTTCATCCTTGAATGGTGGATTTCAAATCCCAATATTATTACAGATAATGAGTTCTGGTCATGCGATTGCATTGTGAAAGAAAAGGTGTTGAATGGGTCAGAAAAATGTGATCATGTAGCATGTAAGTATTGGTGTAAGCAAGGATCTAGAGTCATCAAAATAATAATAAATTTTTGCCAGTCTTGGTAAAGTAACAAGCACTGTACACAGAAAGATGTATATGGGACTACACAAATGGTGTCGGGGCTACTAACCTTGATTTCTTTATCTTTCTATGCTCATTACTCAGCCAGTATACATTTTCTACCAAAAGTGTTTGGCAAACGACATTTATTTGTACTCTTGAACATTCAGTGTAAGTATCGCTTGAATCTGTGAGAATTTTTTTTTTTTTTTTTACCAGCACTCAAGTTTATCTTTAATTTCTATTATTAGTCTATACGGATGTAAGTCAACACAATTATCTCAAATACAAGGGCAAGGAGCTCTCATGATTTTTCCCATACCTATGTGATGGTGCAAAAGTTACATTACAGCATTTGTACAGATTCTCATTTTATCGATTGACAGATAGATCAATGTGTCGTTGCCTGGAGGTCAGCTCCATAGATTCCAAGTGCAAAATAGAAACAACAAAACTGCTTCCTGGATTTTACAATAAGTAATCTAATGAGAAGTGATGTAGGAAAATATACATTTGTTTACAAGGATATGCAACTAATTGGTGATCTCACAACAGAGTTTATATGCAGTGTATATCATAGCCTATCTTCTTTATTGGTATGAATTGGGAATTTTTTAATATTTTCTATAGAAAGAGTGTAACTTTCTCTGAACACTGGGCAATCTTTGTAGTTTTTGCCATGAGCCCACCTTGGGCAATACGGAGCTAGTTGCCATCTACTTTTCTAAACCATTATCCCTGAACTGTGCAGCTGTATGATGTAGAGAAAATTTCGATGAATTGTTTTGAAGTTGTATTTTTTTTTCTTTTTCATTCCTGTATTCCGTTCCAAAGAATTCTTTATCTGATAAAGTGCGAAGATAAATTGAAAGAACCACCTATTTAAATTATGTATAGTTTAATGAGACAAGTTTCTCTAGAAGGAAATCGAGAACACTGCACACAAATACTAGCTTTGTCAGAATGGCTCCAATTCAATGAGTCAGGGTTGTATATACAGGGTTTGATGTCCAAAGACACTTTGACACTGAGTTACATTTACTAAGATGTTTTTTTAAGGATACTGTTATGCTTTATTACGATGGCTTCCATTCAATGTGTCAGGATTGTATATACAGGGTTTGATGTCCAAAGACACTTGGACACTGAGTTACATTTACTTAAATGTTTTTGAATGATACGGTTATGCTTTATTACGATGGCTTCCATTCCATGTGTCAGGATTGTATACAGGGTTTGATGTCCAAAGACACTTGGACACGGAGTTAAATTTTCTTACATGTTTTTTTAATGATACTGTTATGCTTTATTATCCTGACTTCCATTCAATGTGTCAGGATCTTATACAGGGTTTGATGTCAAAAGACACTTATATACTGAGTTACATGTACTTCTATGTTTATTAATCACTATTATGTTCTTTTATGATGGCTTCGATTCAATGTGTCAGGATTGTATACAGGGTTTGATGTCAAAAGACACTTTTATACTGAGTAACATGTACTTCTATGTTTGTTAATCAATATTATGTTCTTTTATGATGGCTTCAATTCAATGTGTCAGGATTGTATACAGGGTTTGATGTCAAAAGACACTTTTATACTGAGTTACATGTACTTCAATGTTGCTGAATTACTACTATGCTCTTTCATGATGGCTGAATGAATATGTCTCCAATAACTTATACAAAAAGCAGTACTACATACAATGTATTTTTATATGTTTGTTTGTGTTGTTCTCACAGACTTCCAAATAGGGACAAATATTTGTATGACAGTAAACCAAAGTGATTAGTTTACCACAGGATTACAATTATTTTGTTTTATAATCTAATTTCAAGATATAAAACCTGCTTTAGAAATTCCTCATCAGAATATTTACCTTCCTAGTGCATTTTTCTGTCATGGATTAACTGATTTAGTTAAAGTGGATGGGTACCCAAACCACCAGAGCAACTGCTCATGGACTAGTAGTAGATTTATTGTCTTATCTCTTTATAATGGATGAGGTTAAAGAAGTATAATCCCTCCTTGCCTGGTCATTGACAATCACTTTGAAAAAGCATTTTATTGAAAAAAAATCACTGGCATTTCACTAGCATCCACAGATAGTACACCTTAATAGTCTTTATAAATATAATGTACATGAGTAACATAAATATATATGTATGCTTTTAAATAACTGCATGTCTTTCTCTATCAAACAAGCTGAAGCAATATACCTGAAATGTCTTTTTTTATTTTGAGAAGTAGCTTTTCTCAAGTTAATATGTATTTGATTAATGCATTTCATCTCTAGTGTGCAAACAATTTAATGTATATAGAATATTTCCTGGTGCTTATTTCGGAACGCCATGTGCGTTTATAGATCTTTTCATTTATTCATGTTGATGTCATATCGCCATGTCATCTCATCCATCCGATGGGTCACTAAGGGCTCCTTTTACACTACATTTTGTAGCCTAAGTGGAGGGTTGTATCTGCAAATTATTAAATGTTTAATCAAAATGAAACCATACCAAAATATTCAGAAGGCAATTTTTCAGTCACTTGATATATGCACTTCATCGATGCATTTCATCCATGAGGACACATTTATTCAAAATTGCGTTCGATGATTAATTAACTCTGTTCACTTTGATGTGCATTCCATAATGTATTGTAATTTGTAGGTTTATTTGCATTTTTAGTTTTGTTTAAGATGTAATTGTATATCGGTCTATTTTGTGTGTTATAGCGCTTAGAGACTTCGGTGGTAAGCGCTTCATAAGTAACGTTTTTATTATTATTATTATTATTATTAATATCATTGTGTGCAAACCGTATCATTTTTTTCTGATTACAATTTTGTGGTTGTTTATGGGTACTTTGTACTTTGATATCAGTTTCCAACCTCTTAACAGAATACCAGTTAACTTTCCTTTTTGTTGAGGGGCAGAATATTACTGAGCAACTTCAAACTGTATTCCTAGCTAGATTCATGTATTAATAATAATAGTAAATACTTATAAAGCGCACTTATCTAATAACTTACTCAAGGCACTATACAAAACAATATTAAAACGAATCATTTACGATATGTGAGAAATGTTTATTTTTATACTATATATTTTCTGTCTGTTTTACTTCTTGCTGTGAATGAATTCATATTAAAAACATTTGCTTATAAATTTGAACATAAAGTGCCATTTGCAACTTCATATTGTTCTTTGTTTTGGGTGTGAGTTTTGTGAGTAATTGTGTATGAGGGTGAGGTGCACGTGTACGTCATTATGTTCCATAAATCATAATCCTATCCTGCAGGCTTGATTGTGTGGACTTTGGACCTATCATTCAATTTCACAGAGAGATGTGTTATGTACACCATAAGGGATGTTCACACACAAAGCATAATCACATCCTCACTTTCAAAGTGTACCTATCACCCAACAAAGTAAAATCAACCTAACAATAATTCACCCGGCATTCTATGGGCGAACGGAGTACAATGATAGGGTGCGAAGAAAATGAAGAATAACATATCGACACAGGAATAAGGCTGAGTTTGTGAAATGGAATCTGATAGTTCTCAGATTAGAAACTTAACAAAATTATGAGTGAAATTAACCCTAAAGGAAAATGTTAAAATATAAACAGAAATTTAGCAAAATTATCAATAACCTGACAAAGTTGAAGCAAAATTACATTTAACTTGTTTCAATTGACCAGTAAACTAAGGCTTTCATTGGCAGCTATCTCTCTCTCTCTCTCTGAATGTATATATATATATATATATATATATATATATATAAACATGTATACTGTGAAAGGAAATGAGAGATGAATGGTTGCATGGCTTAAATCAAGTCCCTGATTATTGCTCTACTTTGATGTAATCTCCCTAAACTATATTTTCTCATTTGTATTTATTTCCATGGAAGTTGTTGTAAAAACACTTACAGGTGTATGTATATTTATTTGTATATTTATATATATTTTAAAATCAAGGGTGATAGTGAGAGTTAAAAAAAGAAATCGTTTAGTGAGAAATACAAATTAAAAAAAGGGGTTTTAGAAATCAGACAGAATCAAGTTTCCCGAGCGCCTGCATGCGTTCAAGCAAGTCA